AATATGTGGTGCACTAGGGGTGACCAGGTCTGCTGTTTGAGATGCACCATGTCTGGCACAACCAATCTTACCATTGTAAAGGTATGTTAGAACCGATTCTCATTATTGGTTTAACAGCTAAAACACTTGACAATGTCTGCATGCTGTATCTTTTGAGGCGCTGCCACATAATTCGCTGTTTCGCTATATCTTTACCTACTAGCGGCCAAGAGTGCCTTTTATCCATGCATAGTACCGGTAGGTGCCAATATCAATTAAAACCACATAGCCAACAAGTTTCAAGTCCGGATAATGATATGCCAATGCCAACATGTAGATTATGTGTGACAGTTAACCATTTTCACAAATGCTCCATATAAGTTTACAGTATGTTCCTTTGGCTTTCACTTCATTTCTCTGTACAATATCATCATTTCCAATTCTTGATTAAGGCCCAGCAACTGCCAGCTGACTCTGGATATTCAAGCCTTGAGATTAATGTCCTTCAAAAGACCCCCATATCATTTTGGTTCTTATTCCCCTGTTCACTCAGGCAGAAGTCTAGACCAGAATCCTCCAGCGCCAAAGAAAACGCTTAATTGTGCTCACATGCGCCCAAGCAGCCACAAGGAGTCGCAAGAGAGCTAGACAACCATGTGCAGAAAAACTTTGGGGTATAAAACTTCTAAATGTAATAAGTACAAACATCTCTAAAGCATCGAAAACATTAACCATTTCCAATTTTTAAAAAAAGTATACGATCTTAAATGTTCACTTCAGGACTGCACTGAGAACTCTACACAAGAAATGATTAGCTAACTTCTTTTCACCAGATACAGTATATTATTACTAAACTAGCTGTAGCTAAAAATGAAGGTTCACCAAAGTTCACCAAATGTTAGGATCATTAAATGTATTTCACTTTAGCTAATAACAATGTAGCCATCTGTGTAAAATATATTTTATGCAGCCTAGAGTGCTTCAGTGTCCTGAGACGCTAACCTTCGCTGCACAAATTCTGCCGCGGCGTGGGCTGAAATCCGATTTACCGCACACTCAGCAAGAACTCTGCTCTATCTTTCAGCACTTTCCTGTCCATAATGCAATAAATATCAGAACAAAGTACACGTATTGACATAATGATGGGAAAGTTGTTTTCAACTAGCTCATGTGTTGACCGGCATCATGGCGGAGGCATCTTTAGACTGCTGTTAACAATAGCAACAGTGCAAACCCAGTGACAGATGGAATACAGAAATATGGAGAATTATTTGTTTTGTTTTGTAAGATGCGACTAGAGATTTTTCCGACGCACAAGGTAAGACAAATATCTTTCTGGGAACACTCTCAGCTAACCAGATCGAAGTTCTGACAGGACCAAAAAGCTTTTCAAACGATGTCTACCGTTAATGGGACTTGTGAAAGTTTTCCTAACCATTTTGGCCCATAGAAACGTGTTAAACAAACTGAATGTAGTAAGAAATACAACAACAACGTTAACAACTTTCTACAAATCTTGTGGGTTGTAAGAGCACAGAGACATCATTGATTGTGCATGTCCATCGTCCAGCTACCTTGATATCATAGCAACATATGAATTCACTTTTAGTGATTTATTGTTAATTGTATTTGGAAAAGGAATTACATGATTTAATCAAAAGTGAACTAAATGGCCCCTCATAACCGCTGAACCCATAGCAGAGCCTCAGAGGCCGTCAGACGTTCTCTTTCTTTTTGATGGACGTGATAACATGATGACAATCACAGGCTGGTTTCACAACCTGCCGTACGAAGCCTCCAGTCAGACGGCACCATCAATCAGGGTGACTTTGCAGTCAGACTAATGGAGACAAAACTGCAGATTAATACGGCTCAAGGTTTAGATAAAGGTCAATTTGGTAAAAGTATGCATCCGTTTGATGCAATTACCACCAGCGATCTGGCTGTACCTGCGGAATTAGGGTTGCCATGGATACCTGCCGAACTGCTGAAATGGGATTGTTTCCCTGCATGACAACATCTTGGATTTGTTCATTATATGCCCATACCGCCACTTACGCCAGATACAACATAAAGACACAGCCAATCGAGTGCAAAGAATCTAAACGTGAACCCGGTAAAAATGTGAACCCTAAACAAAAACACTATTCGCTTGACAGGAAATGTTTGCAGTTCCTAAAGCAGAAAGACAACAGTAGTTTGTTTAAAACAGCTGTATGTAAGCTTGCTTGATCGCTAAATTCAAATGTCACAGATCAGTTACCCTGGTGCAACGTATGACACGCCGATTTTGAGCAACCAATTCCAACAGTAAGGCCTCCGTTGGTTTGTCGCCGCCCACAATGAAATTGGAGAGAGGACAGACCCCCGACACCACACATCAATCTGCACAAAACGTCCAAGTAATGGGCACAATAAACCAACAAAAACGATCTGAGTGTAATCTGGCACATACATGCATGCACATCAACAATCATCAGTATCATAATGTCACAAATATGGTCCATGTCAGGGCAGCTGGTTGGTCAGGTGGTTATAATCCCACATAATCCCACACCCTGAGACAGTTAGCCCTAATAGTCCAATTTCCTGGTCACCGCTGCGAAACCGATTGGCTCATATTCGACTTGCCCGGGTAAATGAAGGTGCTTAAAATGTAAACTTAATTTGTTGCAAACCCCATTGTTTACATTTATTTGGATGATTTTGTTTTTAAATCATAAAAGCGTTGAAAGATCCACAGACAAAAACTCCCAAAACAGGTTGAATCCAGGCATTTTCCTTTTTATAGGCACGCCCATCAATCAAGTCGGGAGTTGATCAATACCCAACGCAAAGGAATCTGTGTACATAATGCCAGTAGCTCTGAGAATGCCACTAGCATGTGCACTAGCAAATAAAACACCGTGATCGTCTGTGCTTAATGTATTTCTGAGTATGAATCGTTTACATGGGTGAGAGACAGGAGGACTTCCATATGTCAATTAGAGTTGCTTGATGAACGCTGCATGACAATCAACATGAATAATCTGGAGACCAATTACTTGTCTACAGGCCACAAGGTTATGGAGAAACACAGTTCCCCCTACAGGCACTGAAACATCAGATGTGTCGGCAAAAACATGCTCTGCCTGTGTCCTCTAGGAGCCTCAGATAGCAATGAATACAGAGAAGGAAACTAACTAGCCTACTACACTTGGCAGTATCTCCGTATACAACCCAGGGGGAAGTAAAATAGCATTTAAACAAAATAAATAATCAAGTGTTGACCAACTACTATTAAACACTGCATAAATAATATTGACAAAAAACACCCAATAGGGAATGTTAATTTATTCCTGCTGTGGTTCTTGGAAAAACACAAACCTGCATCATCACTGTGACTAACTAGTATGTTATATTTAAGCCTTTATACAAATGTGAGGTTTCATGGTAAAGTAAAAACGGAGTTCAGAATTGACCAAAGTCAGAGTTGTTGTTAGTTTATCCTCTCTTGGTAAGTAAATGTTCTCATTTGTCATAGTATTGCTAGTGTACTATATCCAAGGTACTGGATGGCTTTGATGAACCAATGATTGACTAATATTGTATTTTGACTTATATATTAGCATGAGGCTATGAGGACAACACTGATTAAATATATTGTGTCTGGAACAACATCTTTAGACAGATATCTTTATACATTGACACCCTCTCCACAGTGAGCAGTTTTAATTAAACCCCCAACACTAGAGCAAAGGGTAAAGTCTTCACAACTTAACGCCTTGTCACTTGCCGCCCTGATGGTGGAGAAAAATAGTTTGGTTATTTAAGCCGACAGAGTGTTAATCTGCTGGTTGGATCTCTAATCTAATTGAGAGAGATTGTAAATATCAATACAGAGTAATGTACCCTTCCCACGAACCGAGACGGGAGATAAGGGCAAACGTTCAGTGCAACGTGAGATTGTTTCGATAAAAACAGCTATCTCAGATCATGCATCTACTTAATGTCGCAGTGCAATTCATTAGTTTGTCTACAGACGGTAAGTCTATAACAGGGCTTGGGAGCAACTTGTTATCTAAAGTAGTGCAAAAGCAACAGTATATGTTAACGAGGTAGATAATTACTTCTGAGATGACTTATCATACGGAATACACTTACTATGTATTGACAAAGGATGTCTGTGAAAATAACAATCGATTAAACCTTTAAAAATGTGAAAATGTATTCCACCTCTGTGAGTAAGTCAGGGAGCGCATAGATGACACGGCAAATTTATTTGATGGTTCCATCTTCTAATACGTCGATATTGGCAAAGAAATCCAAAAGTAACAAAGTATTCTGATAACGTTAATGATTTTGTAAATCAGAAGTTCTGTTACTGATAAACATTTTAGACACCTGACTAGTAACTGGAAGAGTGACCTACATGTAAGAGATTACAACCCGAGTGAATAAATTGGTGAATTTGTCTGTTTGTCCAAATTAGCATCGTAGTGAAACTGAGAACGAAATGCTACATCCAGTCAGCAAGACATTTTAACAGCTTCCTTAAGCCCATATTTCAAGATGCATGTGCACTCATAAGACAGGTGGTCTAAAAACGATATGAACTGCTTTGGCAATACCAAAGTAGAAAAAGTGACTTCAAACGGAATATGCTTCAAGCTTTGATGTCTAGTTAGTCCCTTTATGGGTAAAAAGCCTTCCGCAAGAAAAATGTAATGCAAAAGGTAGCCTTGTTTCTGAAAACTCAACCGTAGCCCTGTATTGTTTTTTTTTTACGTGAAATCATTTCACATCTCACAACGGAGCACTAGTCAATAGAAACATCTCTGATTCAATAGATGTAGACCTGTATGCATATTATTTGGTTCATTGCCATTTTCCATAGACCATGCAGGCCTCAGGCCAAACCTCCACTGAAAGGATTAAGTTCAAAGGCAGAAAGAAAAATGACTGACTGACTTAGGGCCCTAAACTGTGGAATGGGCTTTCTGAAAGTGACAAGACTCCACCATGTCACAAGAACGGTGAGAGGAGTTGATAGCTCAGTGGCAGAGTGATTACTGAGTATGAATGATGTCCTGGGTTCAATCCCCAGTTTCTCCCAGGTCGCCGTTGCAAATGAGAACTTGTACTCAATCTGACTACCTGGTAAAATAAAAGTTAAACAATAAATACAAACAAGGTTTGTTGCACAGGTTGGTCTAGGTAACCGTACACCCGTAACTCCAGCTAAACGTACCACGGTATTCAAGAAGTACTTGGGATGCTTTAGTTTCAACTCGTCTTCACTCACATTCACTTGTTTATACCGCAAAAACAAGCCTACATCCTCCGAATCCAACAGTGCAGACAGTTACATTTGGTTGATGATGCAGAAGTTCACCACAGGGTCTGCGTAGCGACTCGGAAGCCGCATGCGTTCAATATGTTGAACTCTTACATACTTTTAACCGTACACGAACGTACGATACAACCGGAAACTTCAATTAGTAAACTCAATGTAAAATACACCAAGGCATTATATATTAAACATATATTATTTAGTATGGGAAATTACCAAATTGCGTACCAAATTACGATTACTCTATTAGACTGTCCATTAAATGTAAATGTGTCCAAAATGTACTAATTTGTGCGGTAAAATACTGGCTGCGAGGATAACTGTTCTGGTCATTCCACCCCGAGACCAACTTTGAGGAAAATAACGGCTGGGGGTAGCAACCAGAGCTTTGCTCTAAAAGAGCGGGGCTTTTAAAAAAAAGCGAAAACAGCAAAAAATGAGTTTCATCCATGTTGCGAGTGCCTTTCAAAGAGCATATGGATTGAATGCAGAAAATTGCAGACTATGCATGCAGAAAATATAGGTAAAGGAAATGTGTGACGCAGTCGGTGGGCACTATGTCTGCCGGAAATCTCACCCAGAACCGTTTCTACAGCCAAATAGTGCAAACTGATAGCAATAAAGCAGATCGTATGCTTTTGTTTCACATATTTTTTCTAATGATATTTGTTGGCAGTCCCAGTCAAATGGTGCGTTTTTGCCTACACACAACAATGCACAACAGATCAGAGCATTTTTTGTAAGTCACTCTTTTGCGAGTGTTTTGTTTATCAATAAATCAAGCTTCTCTTGCAGAAAATCCCCCACCACACAAAACCCCTGCTGTTTAATCCAGTGCCCTTACAAATGCAACAATTAGTACGACTGGGGTAGTTTGCGTGTGTGTGTTTCAACATTTAGAAATGGCAGCATTAGCGATGCAGAGTTCCCTTATTGCAGGGCAACAACACAAGGAGAGATTATTTTATCATGTATAAATTAAACACGTAAAAATATATTTAGTTTTTGTGTTCTCACGTCTACATTCCATCAGTGAGTGTTTTTTCTTTTCTCGTGGGCTACTTTTGCCGGGCCTATATTACAACCATCTTCATTCATTTGTTTAGAAGTGTTTGCCTTCATTTTCAGCTTTCTCAAATAAAAGCTATGGCCGAAGGAACTTTCAAGACCATAGAAATGTTCTAGTTTCTATGACAGTATGTCTGTTGTCATTGTCTTCCTCTATGATGTGCCACCCAATGAGTTTGGAGAAAAGTGTTTGTACTTAAGCAGACAGAACGTTTCTGTACACTTCAGAATGTATTCTGCCTCTGCCATCAGCAGTTACATCATCACTGAAGACAGTTTCATTGCCAGCCATACATGTCAAAGCAAAAACACCCCCTACACCATATTATTTCAAAGAAGAGTTGTGACAGTTTTTTTTCCCTCCACACTTTCCTCTTTCCATCAGTCGGGTAAAATGTGTTTCATCTGTCCACAATACTTTTTTCAGACCCACTGCAGACTTATTTGGGTACTTTTAAGGCCATCTCTATTTGAGGATAACTAGTGTTTTTGCACCTTGAATTGTAGCTCCTGACGTTCAGGTGGTCAAGTCGTTTGAGGATTAGGTAGTGGCTGTCACATCCACGCCTAGATCTTGGAGAGAATCCTTTGTGGTTCTAAATGCTTTTTGCTTCGAAATAAGCAATTTGTCAAATTCTGCAAAGTTATTCCTTAGTCTACTAAGCTGTTTGCTATTGCTGACCTCACCAGTGCATTCTTTCTTTAAAACAATTTTCAAAGCTGTCGTTTTTTGTAATTAAAGCCAAAGTGTGGCTATGTTTGTGACAATGTTTGTCAATGACACCTGTTTGGCCTTAAAGTTTACAGACATTGATAAAAAACACTTCAGAGGCTAATGCAAAAGTCTTGAATAAACACTGTACATTAACAGCTACATGCACAACACATTTAATGAGAAACCCTTCTCATGCCAATACTATATAATATTTCAGGGACCTGAAACAGGAGGACAATTTAAATTGTTGTCTTTTCTAAATGTTGAAACCAATATGTACACAAATACCCTCAAATGTAATAGTCTTAAATTGAGAATCGATACTTTAAAGTTATAAGTATAAAATACTTTTAAAAGTAAGTCTAAACATTTGGATTATGGAGCCAGAAGAAGAAAAGCAAATATTGAAATACATTTGAGCAAGATGTTTTGGGCATAGCTATAATAAAACATTAATACTGGTCTCCGTTTTGACAGTTTATTGCAAAAGTAATATATATTTTGGGGCGGGTTCAATAGATGTATTTCAAGCTCTATTTTGTCATTAATGGTTCAATTCTGAGTCTGAAACAGAGGCACCTTGCAAAGGAGCTCTTTTATTATCTCACGAGAGGAATGTTGGCAACAGAAAATGGTTAAGCGTTTGCTCCGTGTCTTGACAAATTAATTAGGATTCCTGTGGCACTTGAATAAACAGTACCACACTGAATATTTCTTAACAATTCTCCCTCCCTCAGAACTTTTCTCAGGCAAATAGTTGAGGCGGAGCAAAGGCTAAAATTGGGTTCAGATTTACCCTTTTTATCTGATCCAACTAACTGCAAAGTTGACATTTTACATCAAACAAGACTGAAGCGAAATGCATGGCCTTATGTATAACCCTCCCAGACCCAGGTGGGATCACGGTCGCTGGGCACGGATATCCGATCTATGTGAGCACAAAAACAGACAAAAGCTCAAGTGATCTTTAATGACACTATAATGCTGAAAATTCTTTATAAATCACATTTGCCACGCATTGTGGTTGCTTCAGGTCGGGTTCTATAAATAGCCTTAATCTCCTCCGCCTTCCCGCGCCTGTCTTTATTGGGCTTGAGCTCTTATTAAGGTTAACTTGCATGGGACCCATTACAATATGTTTAGAAATGGGGCCACACTGTTTCACATTCTAAATAGCTGGGAAAGCTGCATTTTCACGATTGAGTGTTCAGGTAAATTATACCCCTTCCAGGCAGGGTCAGAGGAAGTCCATTAAAACCGGCAAGTATCCCAGCCACCCCAGCAAGGCTACTGTCTGTTCTACCTGGCTTAGCATACCAGTGCTTTATGTGTAGGCCATCACATCCCCACACAGCTTCTACTTATGACTGTTAAACAAGACTACGAAATGATCAACAACAAATAGAATGTTCACGTGTACAGAAATACTCTAATTAACAGCAGATGTAAAAGGCGGTGTATTTTTATGACGTGAAGGAAAAGATATTCCGGGAAGTTCCCCTAGGTAATGTAATAAGTTATGGAAAGGCGATATTTTTATTTTACGGATCCATTTGGGTCTGATTTTCCAAAAATATCAAATTCAATTTAGCTGTTGGATTCGATGGAACTTATCGGATCTTTTATTTTATTTTATTCTTTCATTTATGTCTAAGTGTTGTCCTTGTCGGATGGAAATTTCCCAGATAGAAATACATTTGAATATTCCTTTCAGGATCCTATAAGACGTCTACAGGAGAGGAAACACACTAAGCATCAATGTTTCCAGTCAGCCAAATTACCACAATGAAAATCCAAAACATAGTGGATGTAAAAAGCTTTCTCTTTCGGTTGGATAAGTGCAGGAATCTATTCTAATGGGCTTTGTTCATAACGATTCAGATAAAAAGAAAAGTGCATCTGACATTTGTTTGAAAGCAAACTTTGTAAAATAACTTGCATGCAAGTTGTAGGCATTTTATAAAGTTGGCATTTATTTTGCCTTTGTGAGAGATTGTGGTTTTGAGGCACAACATTCACATACTGTAATAATGTGATATTAATATATTCTGCTCATACTAAGTATTTGCATGAATATACTAATACTTATATTTTTGTTGCCTGGAGACTAGCACTCAATAGGAAGATAATAAAAACATTTAACAATGAAGTTGAATACATAATCGAAATGCACGGTGAATAAGAATTCTCTTGTTGTTATGTAAAGGAAAATGTACAGCCAAGAGACAGCATGTACTCTCTGACTGCCATCTCTAACAGACTAACACCTTCCTAGCCAGCCTTCCAGTACCTAGGTAAACGCTGGCAGGCTAGAAGTTGTTCCGCCCAAAAAATTGCTATCATCTCTCCTGGCATTGCTCCTACTGCATCCACAAATACCGCCAAAGACCTCCTCACATCACGATTCTTGTCGATGCTTCACTTCAAGCATCAGTAAATGTGTTCGCATTGTGTGCATGAAGTTCACTGTACGCCAATGACAAAACCATTATGACGACCCGCAGGTGAAGCTAACGACGTTGATCATCTCCTAACCAGGCCACAACAACACATACCGGCGACAGGGTGCCGGGCGCCCAAAGCTCATCGACGTGCGAGGGCAATTTAGGCTATCCCGTCTGGTCTGAACCGACAGTAGGTCTACTGTGGTACATTTTAATTGTGTTTTTGGGAGGAATGTGTCACATTGCATCACGCCCTGCTGTGTAAGGCACTGCATAGCCGCACACTGGTCATGATGACCCCTGTCCACCAAAGTAAAAACTCCTACAATGGGCCCACGAGCGCCTGGGAGCAGTGGAAGGTCATCTGGTCTGATGTATCCTGTTTGCTTTGGCATCACATGGATGTCTGTGTTAGTGTGCACCATTTATCTGTGGAAGTGACGGCACCAGGATGTAGCGTAGCGGGGCGACAAGCTGGTGGAGGGGGTTTGATGCTCTGGGCAACGTTCTGCCGGGAAGCCTTGGGTCTGGGTAT